AACACAAATGCACATGAAAGTAAAGAAAGAAAATAAGGAAGGAAGGAAGGAAGGAAGGAAGGAAGAGAGAGAGGGAGGGAGAAAGAAAGAGAGAGAGAGAGAGAGAGAGAGAGCGCAAGCATCCACTAGGAGTCTGATTGCTTTAAAGACAATCTAGGGAGAATCCTAAGCAACATACAGCCCATGTTTTACATATAAAATAACTGATAAATGAATAAGGTGACAGATCATTTTCTTTCTTCAACTTTTATATCCACTCATTTGCTTTCATCTGAAAAATATTTATGAATTATACATTTGGTAAATGTCCTAAACAGTGAAGATGAAGTTAATGAAAAGTATAATGGGCTACAGAGCTAGACTGTGGTTTTGTAGGAAACCACAGTAATTAGCTATACAATCCCTGGCCCTCTTACCTCAAGAGAATTGGTTAGATAGACTATATTCTCCATAAGTACTGCCTGCTCATCAAATTCCAACTGTAAATCCAAGACTCGAGGCCCTTTCTTCTCCATGTTTTCCTAATAGCCAAATGGTTTTGAAAAAAAAAAATCATATTAAGAACATGTTTAAAAGTTTATTTTTCCTAAGTAATCAATCATTCTCTCTACTGATAAAATCTTTATATTTCAGCAGGAAAAGGAAAGGTCTTTGACTCATGGGTTTCCCTAACCATGTTTGCTTGTTCATGAAATTACTTGCTCAGAATAATTGCCATTAAAATAAGATGCAATTTAAGGAAGTATTGAAAACACTGGAAGGCATGGGATTTTCAGGCATTGAAAATAAATGTGGTTTTAAAGCTGTGTCTTTCCATGACTCACTGTACAAATGGAAAGAATCAAAGAAATTTATGAAAAAAATCTCTTCAGCTAATATTTTAAAAATTTTCAAGATAACAAATATAAAAGTTCTAGATATTCCTGCAAAGCTTGAAAAGAAACTGACACTCTCATACTGAGTAGGTATCGTATGGTGATAGGGCACAAGGCAGCACTGGCCTGATTGCCTTTGTGTTTATATAAATTATCCAGCCTTGGCTAGGGATGTCAAACAGTAGGATGCTTGCCTAACATGTGCATTTAATTGCCACCATCACAAAAAGAAAAAGAAATCATCCAGTCTGTGGTATTCTGTTATAGCAGCAGAAGGTGGACTAAGATATCACCTAAGTTCCTTTTCCTTCCCACAAAAGTACTAGAAAGGCAATTATTCTGCAGATAAATTCAAAATCTGTTAGTTCATATCTCATAACCACTACCCTCTTCTGTCCTAACTAACCATTTCTCAAGTGGTCACAGCTGTCCACAAGGTCCATACTCGATTACCTTAATCATGGCCACAAATGGCATAACTTTCTTCATGTATTTCTTCAATTCTGGCAAATTGCCTAGTTCAGAAGCAATGGCTTTGTTATCAGGCAATTTTCCACCATTGGCCTAAAAATGGGAGTAGGAGAGGAAGAGAAATATTTAAAAGATGATTCGAGAGCATGGGTATACCTGCAGGAACTGTGCCAGATACAGAAGGTGGCTGTTTGAGAAGGGTGTTCAGCATCATCCAGTGCAAGCTCAGTGGCTAATGCAGCAACATCTTCCTTTCTGAACATAAGCGGCATGCTTGTCAGTCCAAAAGAGAAGCACAAGTACAGTGCACTGAGAATTTATCTTTCTTGATAAAAGAAGCCCCTCCTGATAAAAGACTGATAGAGTCTTATAAAGATCTTGTCCTCAAGTTCAAAAATCTTATTTCACTGGTCACGTTAAAATGGAAAGCAATACATTTCTCTTTTTTTGTTTGTTTTTTTTGTTTTTCCAGACAGGGTTTCTCTGTGGCTTTGGAGCCTGTCCTGGAACCTGTTCTGTAAACCAGGCTGGTCTTGAACTCACAGAGATCCGCCTGCCTCTGCCTCCCGAGTGCTGGAATTAAAGGTGTTCACCACCACCGCCCAGCAGCAATACATTTCTTATACAAAACTTATTTATGAGTGATGTGTGTATGGGGGGGTGGGTGGTATGTGCACATGAAAGCAGGTGCCCATGGAGGAGAGAGGCATCAAATCTCCCTGGAGCTAGAGTTGCAGGCAGTTGTGATCTGCCTGACATAGGTGCTAAGAACCAAACTCAGCAAGAGTGCTTTCCCACACTGGGGGGGGGGGGGGGGGGGGGGGGGGGGAGTGGAGGACAGGGATTCCCTAGTTTCTGATGCTAAAAATAGTATCATTTCTATCTACTCAAAACAAAACAAAACCCAAAAAATTAGTTATCATATATCACCAATGTACAGGCATGTATATAGTACACAGACACACATACCATGCAACATATACTTAAAATAATATACATATATATACTCTAATCATACAAATAAAAAATTTTTTAAAAAAAAGAAAAGTTAGGGCTAAGAGTAGTGGCACACATTTAATACCAACGCTCAGAAGGCAGGGGCAGGCTGTGATAGGCTGACCAGAATTAGCCATAAAAATGTTAGAGGACTGAGGAAGTTGGATATAGAGCAACAGGAAGAGAGAAGGAAGGGCAGTGGGGGTTTTCCATGGCTTTTGGATCACGGAAAACATGGCTAGCAGGATCAATCAATCACTGACCCTGTCCTTGACTCAAGATGGCTTTACTGGCACAAGCGATTGGCAGTGTGAACAACTCTCCTGCAGTAATACTGGGGGATATCAACATTACCTCAAAGTGGTTTCTCAGGACCGACAGGGTGATATGCTGCCAGAGAGGGTAATTCTTTGCCACATAGATGGTGCAGTGTGAGGGCCTCTGTGGTGGTTGTTTGTCAGTCTTCTGCACAAGAGAAGAAAAGAAAAACATGGGTCCTTGTGTAAACCAAAGATGAGAACACTCAGCACCTATACCACCATCCTCAACAAGTGGAACATACATGTTCAAATACTTAACAGAACATACATGCTTCAGACCTTTAACCGTTAGAACATACATGCTCAAACCCTTAACAGACTATATAGGCTTCAGATCCTTAACAGTTAGAACAATCATGCTTCAGACCCTTAGCAGCTAGAACATACAACTTTCAAACGTTTAACAGAACACGCATGCTTTAGACCTTAGAATATATATGCTTCAGGGCTGTATCCACAGTACACACAGCACTACACATTTTAATCACCTAGTTTTCACTAGTTTGTTATCTGACCACATACCATAAGAAATGATCCTTTTAAAAAAAACTGGGCTGGAGAGATGGCTTAGAGATTAAGAGCACTGGCTGCTCTTCCAGAGGACTTGGGTTCAATTCCCACACCCACAAGGCAGCTCACGACTGTAACTCCAGTTCCAGGGGATCCAACACACTTATACAGACACACATTCAGGCAAAACCAACAATGTACACATAAAATAAATAAATAATTTTTAAAAAACTGTTTAAAGGATGACTTCACCTTCCCTTTAGCTGGCATCATATAATTCTTGAGCCGTAATCTAAGGTCATGTGCTACTTCCATGAGATACTGTGAGGAACGGATTAAGGATTCATCCACAGGACCTGCCACGGGCCATGAGGCATTCATAATTGAATCAGGCTTTAAAAAAAAAAAAAAGAAAAAAAAACTGAGTGAGAGATTAAACAACACTTGCTTTCCAGGCCTTGCTTACAGTTTCACACCATGGCTACCATCTGTAATCGTGTGCCCCAAGTTCAAACCTGACTACACATAGCACACTTCTACAGCCCCTGATCTAATGTTCCCTAGAATTCAAGCTGTGAAGTCTGACTCTACATTCTTAATTAGCATCCATTTGTACAGCATATTAATACCCACACACATATGCTCACTTTCAAAGAAAATTATGTAATGCTAATTTGCCTAAATTTAATCATTATTATATAAATTATTCATGCTCTCAGTTTATATCCTATTAATACATCCAATGTTGAAAGTATGGCTCTTCAGCATATATATCACTAGCACAATTCCGCATGTGTTCATAGACTGAAAAGCACAAATGCCTGGCTAAGGAGGTTGGAGAGAAACACAAAACAGGCCAATCTACTGATCTGCAAGCTTAGGGGAACTGAGTTTGTCTTCACACTATGAATGTGACACAGCATCCTTGACATACAGCCCTATATATGCCAGGAGTTTTATATAAAATAAGAACTTTTATGTAAATATACCCTTATATCTTTTGTTCATAGACACCTCATCCTGTTATTTATAGCTCTCCACAATATTTCCACCTTGTTAATCACTGGAGGAACAACATTATACATGCATCCAAATGTACAACTGAGCAAACATACTCAAATACAGATGAGAATGAAATGTTACACAACATGAATATGACCACATTTTTAACACATATACATGTGTTGAAATGCACATATCTGATCTGTCTTGTATGGCTCTTTAACCTGCTAAATTATGATGATAAATCTATTATTATTTCTGGACTTCTCATGAGTAACAACATTATCACAACACTTATTTATTAAAGCCAAACTAGCCATGACATTTAAAGCCCAGTGATGTACGTACCTTTCCCAGTAGTGTCCAGATGTGCTCACACAAATGTGGACAGAATGGAGCCAGAAGGATGGTCTGAACTTCAATAAACCGGAACACAAGCTCTCTGTGCATCCCTTCTGTAGCCAGTTCACGGTATTTATCTTTCGCAGCCTATACAGAATTTCAAATGATTTATCATTTTTCCTCATCTTTAAAATACAGATAAAATATTCAGTTTCTTGGCATTAAGTCTTAGTCTTTTAAAACATTCCATAATAAGTTATTATAAAGGTTTCATTTTATTTTTAAAACTCTACAGTATAAAAACAATCTTTTATCCAGAGAATATTATATCTTTCTATTAATGATTCTCAAGAAAGAGACTGGGGATGTAGCTGAGTAGCAAGAGTGCACACCTAGCACACTCGAGGTCCTGGGTTCAAAATAAACCAGATAATTGTTTCAAATAAGTCTCAGAATTTTGTTTGTCTACCTGGTTTGGGATTTCTGAGACAGGGCATCGTGATGCATCATAAGTTTGCCCTACCACTATTTTTATGGTAACACTCTTTAATGCAGGCTAACCTCAAACTCACGGCAACCCTCCGGCCTGAGTCTCCCAAGTACTGGGATTATGGGCATGAGCCAACTATGTTCAGCTTTTTTTTTTTTCCTTAAGGCATGTTTATGTCAGTAAGGCATAAAACTAGATCTCTGAGCTGTTTTCTAAGGTCAGGCTTTGAGCAGTGCCCAGAGCAACGCTAACATAAAGGACTACAAATGCAAGATTTCTATGCTCAGCACTTGGCCTTATTTAACCACATCTGAAAACCAAGTTACATAAATCCCAATGTGACACTTTACAAAACTGATTGAGTAAAGCTACATGTGGCCTTTGAAATGCCAAACTTGGAAAAATACTGACACCTTGTGGAAAAACTCAGAAAGCACTTTCTTTCATGTTGCCTTCATATTTATCGATTTAAAATGCTTTTGTGTATCAGACACCGGGTTACATGCCTAGGTGGGGGCAGGAGGACCTCTTCTTAATGCTCATGGGTAAAATAAGAACAGAATTTTCTGTACTAAGTAAATACCACAGACACAATGTCAAAAAAAAACTATTTTAAAATCACAAATTATCAGAAAACTCATTGAAAAGATTTTCAGTCTGTACTTTGGACATGCAATTATTTCAGAGCAAGAATAAAAAGGAGAAAATATACTGTATCAATGCTGACATGTTTTAGACACCAAAATAATAGCATACCTGAAACTCAAAAAAACCTGTTTTCAAAGCTTCTTTAAACATCATCTTTTCATAGTTTTGATCTGTTTTTATAATTCCTGCATTCATTTCACTATTGAATAGGGAAAGAAAATCTATTTAGTTTAAAGGCAACTACATATTTTATGTATTTTAAATATTATTGTATATTTATGTTTTACATTATATATTTGACATAAATGTGTACTTATATACATACACACACATAACTATTACATAGATCAATAACCAGAAAACATTACAAATTGCTCAATACAAGGGCCAAGGGATAGCTCAGTGAGTGAACTGGCTGCCATACAAGCATGAGGGCTGAGCTCAGATGCTCAGGGCTCAACTAAAGCCAGATGATGTAGTACATGTCTGTAATATCAGTGCACCAAGGTGAGATGGGAAGCTGAGACAGGAGAATCCCAGGAAGCTCCCAGTACAGTTAGCCTGGTGTACACAAGGTGGAAGGCAAGGACCAATGCCTGAGGTTGTTTCTTGATACACACATACACACACACACACACACTTTTTAAATTTTTGGTTTAAAACAAAAATTACCCATTATTAAACTGCTTTGTCCTCCTTAAAACTGTACAGCCTATTTGTCTACCCACTTGTATGCAATGTCAGCTTTCACTATCCAGGGCTCCTATTTACACTTCACAGTATAAATACACTTCACAGTGTTGTTGTTGTTTGTTAAGTTTCTTGGCAGAGCTGGGCATCGTGGCCTGTGATCCAGGTACTTGGGAGGCTGAGGCAGAACTGTATCAAGTTCAAGGCCAGCCTAGGGTAGTGGAGACCCTGTCTCCCCAAACATGTCCTCATTGAAATCATTGCTAATGATCCTTAAGCACAATATGCCTAACTAGGGCAGCAGACAGGATTTATACATGTGAAGTAATAGTTAACAGCTATTAGGAAACACATCTCTTACCACCCCAGATTTAATCTGACCTGAGCTGGCCCTGATCTATTTCGTTGGCTCTGACCTACATATACTGTATATCAAATACCATACCCTTCCCGGGTACTATATGTGTTTTCTCCTTTCCCCCTAAGACTACTGTCTATTTTTTCCAAGAAACCCAGAATTCCCACATCTCCCTGAGTCCTCCTTACAATGAATTCTCAGTTAGTAGGCGCTTTTTCCTTCCAGCAAGTCTTACTCATCTTTATAGTCTTACTCATCACTTCCAACACAAGGCCAACAAATGTCTTGAATTTTTTTAAAGGTACTTCTCCTTTTCTCTTAACCTGTTTTTCCTGTCACCATTTTATGCTACTGTAATGGAAGACAGTGAGAGAAAGGTTGTACAGAAGTTCTGGAGATACAGATAAATTCATACTCCAAGGTTCCTATTAATACATCAAGGCATTTAATGAAATAACTGTTAAGCCTCAGTCTCCTCATCTCCAAAGGTCAGCCAGCTACATTGTTAGCACACTAGGTTGCTTTGAGGCTAGAGTCAAATTAAAGTGCCTAGCACAGAGAGGCCCTCAACAAATAGCAGTCATTGCCATTATTTAACTTTTCTTAGAAAAAAAAAGGAGAAACAGACACTCTGAAAACCAGGAGGACTCAGCAACTCCTACAGCACAGCGCTGGCCCAGGGTTACCTGGCAAATACACGATCATTGAATGAGCTGGCAGGTCCACTTCTGAGGCTGCTGCAGTTGGCGAGCATTTCTTTGACCCATTCTACCCATGTGTACAAACGGAGGATACCTGCGTCTGCCATGGCTTCCACAAAATTGGCATCTTCAACAGTGTCGCCAGCATCAGCCAGAGCCAGGCGCATTCCTGAAAGAAAACAAAATCAGTCACCTAAAAACATGGCAACTGATGGTGGTGGCTCACATCTTTAATCCTAGTACTCAGAAGGCAGAGGCAGGTGAATCTCTGAGTTCCAGGTCAGTCAGGACTACAGATCGAGTTTCAGGACATCCAGGGCTACACAGAGAATTGTTTTGAAAAACCAATATATGTATGTATGTATGCATGTACACACACACACACTCTCTCTCTCTCTCAGTATATATGAGAGATATACTGATGGCCAGGCATGGTGGCAAACACCTGTAACTCCAGCACTTGGGAGCTAGAAGCAGAAGTTAAGGTCATCCTTGGCAACATAGAAAGTTTGAAGCCAGCCCAAGCTATACAAGATACTGTCTCAAAAAATACAAAACAAAACATACACTCCCATTCTAGGAAAAAAATTATGCATAAAGTTGGGTACACTGTAATCCTTAACATATAAATTAAGAAATAATAAATGTTATGTATGACTGTCCTGGACCAACAACAAAAATAAGACTCTCAACTATTTACCATATTTTTTGTATCCTTTATACCACATTTGTATTATTTGTATACATTTATATCAGTTTCCACACACTCAAGACAAGGTGTTTCTTCCCAGGCATGCTGAGATGATAATGGTACTGAGGCATGGTTCTTGTTATCTGTAGTGAGATAAGCAACTAAGGCTGAGCCTTCAGGATTAAGAGTATCTGTAGGAGGAATCCCAGGTCGGCTGTCTTCATTTATGTGGTATGGGATGGCATGCCTACTTGATAAATGGGGCCTATCACATGAATATGAAGATGCCCTGAAAACAGTTAAAATTTTAGAAGAAATTTTACAGTCCTTGAGATTAGTGCACAAGGGCCAAGATTGTCAGCAAGCAGCTGAGGTTGCCTGCCCTTTGTCATGTGTAGTTAGAAACCCATTTGAAGCCAAGATTGCAGCCAAGCAGGAAGTTGTTTGTATAAAAGGAACAATTACAACAAGAAAGGGAGATGTGGCTAGCATCCTCTGTGTTAGCCTCTGATTTGGCAAGTAAATTAGATAAACAAGAAGATGAGATGGAGGTGCTGGTTTGCCAATTCTTAAGGCTTAGAGGCCAGAAGAAAGAGTGACTACAAGTTAGATCTGTGCTCAGAAGCCCTTCCTTGGATCTAAGAACTTGGAACCCATGGAAAGATTCAGAGAGTGAGGAGGAAGGGGAGAGCATGGTAAAAATGATAAAACATACCCCCTCAAGTCCAACCTTTAATAGAAATCTATAGAAATGGAAATAGAAATCTATAATCTAGTGTTCAGATGGGAGAATTAACAATGATCCAATGCAAAAAAAAATAGTGTGATCAGGAAATAGCATTTGAACTGCTGGAATTGGGGAAGATTTTTTTGTTTTGCTTTGTTTTGTTTTTGTTTTTGTTTTTTGAGACAGGGTTTCTCTGTGTAGCTTTGGAGCCTATCCTGGCACTCGCTCTAGAGACCAGGCTGGCCTCGAACTCACAGAGATCCACCTGCCTCTGCCTCCCGAGTGCTGGGATTAAAGGCGTTTGCCACCAACGCCCAGCGGAATTGGGGAAGATTTTTAAAACAAGCAGTGAAAGAGCCTGTTGCAGGCTGGCTTGTGAAGCAATGGGCCATGGGAGTGGACTGGATCAGTCTAAATACTATGGAGGCAGAAAAACTGAGTAATGTAACTTCTTATCCCTCCTTAAAGAAAATGCTGCATAGCCTGTGACAGTGTGAGGGAAATCAGCCCCCGACAGATTGGCTTATCCAAGTCATAGGAACACTTGGTTATCTCTATCTGAAGTCCCCATAAATAGCGGGGTTGGAGGACCATAGGGTAAGGGCAGACACTATTGAGGGAACTAGGAATAAGAGAAGCTGTACTTGAACCCCAGTTTACTGGGCCAGAGAGAACTGTGTTCACAGAGAAGTTAGAGAAAAGGCTGACCCAGCAGGGACCTCACAGCTGACGTGGAGCTTTCATGGCTTTGCTCAGTCCTTTCTTTGGTGGGGCCAAGATCTTTATAATGTAGGGAAGGAAGACTCTGGAAGCTCCCTGACTTAAGACTAGCATGTGAAGAGTGTCTGTAAAGTAAAAGAACAAGCTAGAGGCAATAAGGAAAATGTAAAGCAGAAAGAAGAGTTCTGTCTGAATTGCTCAAAGACAAGATGGCAAGATGTGTGGTGAGCTGAAGTTCCTAAGAAAAAAGTTGATAGAAAGCCAAACTGTGCTAATGATCTTCTTGAAGGCTTTTAAGCCTGAAGAGCAGTCCACAGGAGAAACCCATAATAGAATAATACAAGTAAAGATGATCAAGCCTGTCCCAGGGGTGGGTAATTATACTCCCAGAGTAGGGGAAATTCTTTTCCCTCCAACAAAAGGTTATGCTATGGGTAGAGATGGTTTGCCCAGTCAAGAACTCCCACAAGAACCAGGTGTGGTGAATGGGGAGGCTACAAACCACTGTGCCAACCCAGGGCTACTCTAACCAAGGGAGGCAGCAGATACATAGGGGAAAGCAGGGCCACATTCACCTTTGACAGCCCCACTGAGTTTATCAGGTTTGGAGAAATGTAGGAAGGCTCCATGGAAGAGCTCAGGTTATGGAAACATCATGGCTCAGAGAGAAAACTAGGAATTAAAGGGAGCTAATTAATTTAATTCGTGTCTCCTATCTAAGCTTTCTACCCAACCTTGATCTGTGGAGGAAGCAACTGACACAAATGGAACCTTTCCATGCCAAATTAGACCTTGCTTATGTTTGACTTTAGTGTCTTCTTAGCTGTGAACCTATGGGGTCACCTGAAACTTGCTGAGAACAGATGACAACTATTCGTTTAAGGAATGGTGGTTTGGAAAAACCTCTGAAAAAGGTTTTGTTACATAGCTGAAACAATGGTAACCTCTAAGGTTTTGCAGATTTGGAAAGCCATTAATGAGACAACTAGGTATAATGGTACTTCTAACTACTTTTCAACCCTACTGGGGCTGGGTTAATTAAAAGAAAAAATATTCCAAAAGGTATCCTACATAGATGAAAAAGGACACTCCCAGGGGCCATAAGATTACTGAATGAAAACTCCAGTGCTAAGAGTGGGTTACTTTCCTGTAAGATGTTGGCCAGCGAAGCCCCTGAGGCACCACAAATCTTAAAAACCATTGCTATTTCTGTTGGCTGTAGGCCAGGACTAGACTGTAAGATGCTATTGCCAAAGACAGCACATGTGCATCCTTAGACTGCAGAACATGGAGAAATTAGGCAGGACTGAACTGGAAACTCCCACCCTGCTGGCTGGCTACTGCAGTTTTAGAGGGGGCTGTGTAGGCTGCTGGTGGAGAACTGTCATCAACATTTCTGTTTGGCCTCAGACCCATGTGTACTAAAATATCAATATGCCAGACAAAATGTGCCTGAATGTGCAATAGTGGCTCCACTATCATGGGTAAGACCAACAGCATTCCAATTGGATTTAAGATCCGCTCTAAAAGAGGAAATTCACAATTGGTACTGTAGGCCAGGACAAAACCTGTGCCTGGAAGGTCATAAATTCCAATGGGAAAGCAACTTCTATCCTTTTACTTGATGGGTGTCATATACCCATCAAATGGCCTTCTAAACATGTGTTCCCACCCAAGGATCACTGTTATCACCATCAACTCATAACCACTGGTAAAGCTTGTGAGAGCAAGTGACTGCTACTGTGACTATACGTGGACATCTTTAGTCACCCCCTCCAACGCTCAGGGATTACTGCATAAAAGGAGGCAGAAAGAATTAAGAGCTGGAGGAGGGTGTGGAGTGTTGGGTGTTGTGTAACAGTTTCTTTCGAGATTGAAACAATCTATCCTAAAGAGAACCTATTTAAACAGGAAAGTGAACTCAAAATAGCTTCAGGAAGTCCCTGAAACTGACCAGATTTGCTAGGCCCCTCTCTGCCAGAGTAAACAATAAAAGCTGAGTGTCTCAATCAGACAAACTGAAGCTGAGTTGCAAAGAAGACGCTGGGAGGAGAAAAGCTGCAAAGACTCTGAGACACATCAGCTGCCTGAAGAGGTTCAGACCAACTAAGGTACCTGGAAAGGACATTCTCCAACCTGTTGAGCTGTACAGGCTGTGGACTGTGCTCCAGGGTCCCAGCTTTGTGAGCTGTCGATATATGCTGGGGTGGGCTTTGCTGTTACAGCTGTCTTTTGAGTCATTTCGTAAGTAACCCCAATAAATCTCATTGGTTCACCGAAGTCTAGTTTCCATATTTTGGAATATGGAAGGTATCCACATTTTGGTTTGTCATGGGATCCCTAACTAGGGTGAGTAGATGTGTGTGTTTGAGTCCCCTAGGAAAAGGTCTGTTGCACAACAGGCAACACTGAGGGACTCTGTCCCAAACAAATAAATACTCTAGGCCAGGGAAGCCCCCCTCCCCCAATCCCCATTTGTCAGCTAATACCAAGTAGTCAACCCTGAAATCAAATACTTAAAGTAACATCACACAGACTAAGCAGTGTGCATTTATATATTAAGAATTACAGCCAGGTGGTACACACCTTTAATCCTAGCATTTGGAAGGCAAGGGCAGATGGATCTCTTTGATTTCAAGGTCAGCCTGGTCTACAAAGTGAGTTCTGGAACAGCCAGGGCTATTAACACAGAGAAACCCTGTCTCAAAAAAACAAAATGAAAGAAAAGAAATATGCATATAATGACAATGAAAAATGTCATGAATGTGAGAGAAAGTAGGGATGAGAGGTGTACATGAGAAGGGCCAGAGGGAGGAATGGGAAGGTAAAATGATGAAATTATATTTCAATTTTAAAAAATGAAAATATTAAGACAACTGCAGGGTTGTCAACATGGTTCCATAGGTTAAGTGCTTGAAAGGCCTGATGACCCCCAAATCCCCAGAATACACATAAGATAAACAAATATGGTAGAACACATCTGTAGTACCAGAATTCCTATGGTAAGATGAAAGGTATAGGCAGGAGAATCACCTCAAATTTGATGGCCAGCTTCTCTGAAGCACACAAAGAAACAAGAGAGAGATTGCCTCAAAGCAAAGTAGAGAGAAAATCAGCTCCAAAAAGCTGTCATCAATTCATTGTAGACAATGTTGTGGAGGGAAAAACAGCTATCATCTGACCTACACATTTGCACCACAGTATGAGTGTACTCACACAGGCATCATACACAGATGCACAAAAGGTAAACATCTTTAAAGACTCTAAACACTTTTGAGTTTTTTCTTGAATAAATTTCATCAGCAATTCTCATGTTTTAACTTCTACACTGTGCTTCTTATTTTTTAAAAAAAGAATATTTAAATTTCTGTTAAAAGCAAAAGAATAAGCAACAATTTTTACCTTTATTCTGTAGCCATATATATATATATATGCACACACACACACACATAAGTAAGCCAGGTGGTGATGGTGCATGCCATAATCCCAGCACTCGGGAGACAGAGGCAGGTGGATCTCTCGAGTTTGAGGCCAGCCTGGTCTACAAAATGAGTTCCAGGGAAGAAAAAATATATATATATATACACACAAAACACACACACACACACACACACACACACACACATACACACACACACACAAATAAGAC